CTATAATTTTTATTCATATTATTTTTGTACACATATACTATGATCTTATAGTATTTTACTCTAACAAATCAGGACTAAATATAGGAAGTTCTGATTATACAATATTTTGTACCGCTATACAAACCTATAATTTAGCTAATCAAGTATCTTTATCCCAACACTCCCTCTCAAGTTGGTAAATGGATGTCATACATTTCCAACTTGTCAAATAATCTCCTAAAAATCTGACTTGTCACAACTTTGGCAATTCCAAAATATTTTTATCAAGCTTTTCCTTGATGAAAAATCTATCAACCTCCACATGCTTCATCCCATCATGTTGGACAGGGTTGTAAGCAATGTCACGCGCAACTTTATTATCACAATACAACTGAATGAGATGTGTATGTGCATACCCTAAATCCTGGAGAAATAGTTTGAGCCACAAACCTTTACAAAGTCTAAGAACCATTCCTCTAAGTTCAGCTTCTGCACTAGATCTAACTACAACTTTTTGCTTCTTGTTTTTCCATGTGATAAGATTACCTCCTACAAATGTAAAGTATCCAGAGGTTGATCTTCTATCATCAAGAGCACCTGCCCAATCTGCATCAGTATAAACATCACATCCTTGTAGTTGGAGTTCTTCTTGAACATAACTCCTTTTCCAGGAGCAGCTTTTATATACCTTAAAATCCATATAACAACATCCATGTATTTTTCACCTGGATTGTGCATAAACTGGCTAACCACACTAAGAGCATAAGCTAAATCTGGCCTAGTGTGTGAGAGATACATCAATCTCCCTACAAGTCTATGATATCTTCCTTTGTTAGTTGAAGTTTAATCTTCTTCAATGCACAACTTCAATCCCTCTTCAATTGGAGAATTTGCTGGTTTGCATGCTGTCATTTCAGTTTATTTTAGTAAATCCAATGCATACTTTCGTTGTGAGAGAAAAATACCTGACTTTGATCTTGAGACCTCAATTCCAAGAAAATATTTCAAAGGACCAAAATCGTTCATCTCGAATTTCTTTGCCAAGTACTCTTTCAATGTCTTGCGTTCTTTTAGATCGTTTCCTGTAACTATCATGTCATCAACATAGACAATAAGAACTGTAATCTTTTCTTCCTTTTTCTTTAGAAATAAGGTATGATCTTGGTTGCTCTGTTGGTATCTAAAAGCAAGCATTGACTTGGTGAATCTACCAAATCATGCTCGTGGCGATTGTTTTAGTCCATACAATGACTTCTTCAACTTGCATACCTTCTTACTATGTGTATTCGGGATCCCACATCCTTCTGGTAGCTCCATATAAACTTCTTCAGACAATTCCTCGTGTAAGAAGACATTTTTTACGTCAAATTGTTGTAAGGACCAATCAAGGTTTACAGCTAGAGATAACAATACTCGAAATGTACTAATTTTGGCTACGGGAGCAAAAGTTTCAGTGTAATCTATTCCATATGCTTGTGTGTACCCCTTTGCCACTAATCTAGCTTTGAATCTCTCAATTGTGCCATCTGCATTAAATTTCAGAGTATACACCCATCGGCATCCTACTGGTTTCTTTCCAAGTGGACAATCTACTAATTCCCATGTTTTATTTCTTTGCAAGGATCTCATCTCCTCATTCATAGCATCCTTCCACCTGGAGTAAGCTAAAACTTCCTGCACACTGTTAGGAATAGATACAGTAGATAATTGACTTATAAATGCGATATTTGAGTTAGACAAATTCTGGTTACAAACATAATTACTCATAGGGTATCTTGTCTTACTGGTGAGGTCAGGATCATAAGTAGGCTTAGGGATACCTCTAGTGACACGATCTGACATAATTCTTTTTTCTATATTAGGTTCTTGAGGGGACGATTGGTGTGGTATATCATTAGCATCAACAGACAAATTTTCGATCTCAACATGCTCAAAATCTTCCCCATTATGTGGTTGTTGATCATAACATTGTTGCATACTTTCATCATCTCTTGATACAACTTTGTAACTTTCTTTCTCCAATCTGATCTCAATATCAATTTCTTGAGGAACAAAAGTCTGAACTTCTTCATAATTCTCCCCTTGAATTTCAGACTCGGGGGAAAAATATATCAAGGTTTCATGAAAAACTACATTTATAGTAGTAAACATTTGCTTGGTTTGTGGATTGTAGCACCGATATCCTTTCTGGTGATCCGCATAGCCAAGGAACACACACCTTTCAGCTCTAGGAGACAACTTACTTCTCTGATGCTTGTGTAAGTGAACATAAGCAACACAACCAAAAACTCTATGTGTTAGTTCATCAATTTTAGGACTTACTACTGCATCTGTAAGTGATTGAAGATGTGTTTTATACTCAAGAGACCTGGACGGTGTTCGGTTGATAGTGTATACTGCATATGTGAGAGCTTCTCCCCAATGTATTACTGGCATGTGAGCTCCAATTAGTACAACTCGGACCACCTCCAATAAATGACGGTTCTTTCATTTTGCCACCCCATTCTATTGTGGAGTACTTGGACAAAATCTTTGATGAACAATTCCTTTGGCTACTAAAAAATGTTGAAGTTCTGATTGCATATATTCTCTTCGTTGTCACTGTGCAGTACCTGAATTTGTGCTTTGTACTGGGTCTCAATCATTTTGCAGAATTTCTGAAATAGTCCTCTAACTTCATTTTTAGACTTCATCAAACATAACAAATTCATTCGAGTACAATCATCAATAAACGTTACAAACCACGTTGAGCCACCCAACGTTGTAACCTTAGATGAACCCCATACATCAGAGTGAATGATCATAAAAGGAAGAGAAATTTTATTTAAAATTAAAGGAAAATATGTTCTATGACTTTTTGCAAGCTCACAAACATCACAATAAAAAGTTGAAGTGTCTACTTGGTCAAATACATTTGGAAATAATTTCTTTATGTAACCAAAAAATGCATGTCTTAGACGCTTATGCCATAACCAAATATCCTCGCCTTTTCTTACTTCTTGAGACCCTTTTGTTGCTAACACTTGACCAAGTCTCTTTGAATCTTTTTCTGTCAGGTCCAGGTAATACAACCTTCCTCGCCTAATACCACAACCAATCGTCTTCCTCGTTTGAATATCCTTAAAAACACAAGAGTCAGACCCAAAAATTACAACACATAAAAAAGTTTTGGTTATTTGCGAGACTGACAATAGGTTATATTTAAGAGAATGAACAACAAGGACAGTATCAAGATTCAAATTGTTTGAAATAGAGATAGTTCCTTCTCTAATAATAATGGATTTACTATCATTGGCTGTGGATATACTTTTTTGTGAGGAAGGTTTAAGATTTTTAATTTCTCTAACATCAAAAGTCACATGATCAGAACATGTATAGTCAATTATCCATGCATTATTCAGAACGGTAGATGTGCTTATTAAAGCCTTGCCATTAGAATGATCACTACCTGCGATTATAGCAAGCATCATGCATTTGTCGTCCTCATTGTCAATGGCAGTTACAACAGCAACAGTTGGATTTCTTTTTGAATTCTTCTTCGATGCTCGACTGTGGTCCCACCACTCGGGGTATCCTATAATTTCATAGCATCGTTCCTTGGTGTGTCTATCCTTATTACTTACACTGAGTACACTTGTAGTTACCTTTTTCAAAATCTTTTGATTACTTCGATTTGCTGTGGTGATTTACTGGTTGCTTCTTTGTCATCATAGCTGTGGAATCAAAAATCATTTCTTCTTTTTTCAACGTTGTTCACCAGATTGTCTCTCTCCGGATCAATGCATAACATTCTTCTAAATCAGGTGTCACTTCTTTGCGCAATATTTCTCCACGAACTTGCTCAAAATCATCATCTAGTTCAACAAGGAATATATGCACCATTAATCTTTCAATGGACTTCTGATATGACTTCACATCATCAAGGTCCTTCATGACTACTTTGTCACGATGATCCAATTCCTTAAAAATCTCAACCAACTCCCCATAATATTCAGTTAAGGTTCTATTATTTTGTTTTGTAGTGAATGCCCTTTGATTAAGGGCAAACACCTGTAGCTCATCACTTCCATCATAAAATACCTTTGACAAAGTATCCCAAATATCGAGGACAGTGGGTAAGCGAATATACATTTTCATAATTTCTGGCTTCATGGACATCAATAGCCATCTTTTCACTTTTTGGTTTTCAGCATACCATTTTTCATATCCTTCATCGTTCTCTGTTGGAGGCTTCACCTTCCTACGGATATAGGACAATTTTTTCCTCTCTGCAATGTGCATCTCCATTAGTTGTGACCATACGTCATAATTGGATTCATTTAGGATGATGCCTGCGTTGAAGACACCTTTAGATTGAACAACCATTGAAATTAATTTTTCTGACATCTCTCCAGTTAAGATCTCCAAGGATTTTGAAAGAAAAAGAAAAAAGTTATAAGTTCTAGTACCAAATTGAAAAACATAGAATTCATTCTATAATTTTTATTCATATTATTTTTGTACACATATACTATGATCTTATAATATTTTACTCTGACAAATCATGACTAAATATAAGAAGTTATGATTATACAATATTTTGTACCGCTATACAAACCTATAATTTAGCTAATCAAATATCTTTATCCCAACGTCTTGATACTAAAAAAAAAGTCAACTGGGTTTTAGAAATAAGATAATCATAATGAAAATAAACTTGTTAATTTTGGGTTAGTGATCAATGCAATAGATGTTAAGATTGTTTGGTAAATGTTGTTAGATATGATTCTTTTAAGACGAAGTATCCTAATCTAATTATAGATTTGCTTGTTGTTGGAGTGAATTTTGGTATCATCCTTTCACTTCAATTTCATCTTCTTTTTTTTTTTTTCTGTTTTTTATTTATTATATGGTATGCTAAAAATATATAGAACAGTGATGTGGCAACAATTATGACAGCAGAAAGTAGCAGAAAAGACAGATGGAGGGTTTATTTTTGTTGTTGTTCTTCTCTGTGTGATTCAGAAGTGAAGAGAAGAGAAATGGGTTCACCCACATCAAAGATTGTTTTCCGTATTTTGGTGGTGGTGCTTCTGCTTCTTCTTGTCTTCTACATTGGTCGCCCTCTGTATTGGAAAATCTCCGCCACCGTCCACGACATCCGCAACAACAAGCAAACCGTCAGACAAGGTTTTTCTTCCTTTTCTTTTTTAATTTCCAATTTCTGTTTCTTTTCTGTTCCCTTTTTTCAATTACTCTTTTCCGCGCTTCCTCAGGTCTTTCCCAAATCGTCATGGAGGCTCAGAAATCGGTGGGGTGGTATCACGACGAGTCCGATTCAGGAGTTCGTGCCAACAGCCGAAAGCTGCTTCTTCATGATCCCCTCTCTACTCTTTTTGCTTAGTTAGATATGTACATGCATGCATACACTCCAGATTTTCTTTTAACATTATTCTGTTATTTGCTTGTGTGGTTTTTCTCTTGTAGGGACAGTTATGAGGTAGACTAATTGAATCTTATTGAATTACCTAATGACCATCTTATTATACATTTTGGGGGTCTTCTCTTCTTGTGTTGTGTTTATGCGACTTATTCTTCTTGAATGGGGGGGAAAAGAGTTATTATGTGTGGTGTACGAGTAAGCTTGGAGAATAATTTGGATTTGGTAATAAATCGATCTAAAAGTATTTTTGTTCTATTCTGTGTTGCATTGGCTCATGTTCTCTAAGGATGTTAAGTGTTCATTAAATTGGCATCAGTTATACGCTGACATTGATTGTGAATTTGCTTCATGTGTGTTCTGCACTTATGACAAGATTGTTGATTGAACCTTGGCTTAAAGCTTGTCTATTCAGTGGAATTTAAATTGAACTGTGGCGGTTCTTAGAGATAGTGTGGTTGTTGAATGAATAACCAGATTATAGTTGGAGTACATGGAAATTATTAAATTGAAACTTACAAGGGTTCAATAATTTGGGAAGGGAAAGGTTGATTTGGTTCAACGGATTAGGAGGAGTACGATGGTAATATACATGTTTCCATATCATAGAAATAGAACAGTTGTTCCCTTCAGCTTATGAGAAAGAACATCTATCTTAGGATACTCATTTTTTAAAATGTTTTTTTACAAATTTGTGGGTGTCTTCTGCTTCATTCAGATCCCCGAAATTTCATACCAAGTGTAGATTCTTTCCTTAAGTAGGGAGAGGAACGTCCCGTGTGCAGGAGATTTAAGAGTCATATTCCTTAAGCAATTTGATGGCAGGTCTATTAAATGTGAATACTGTAGGATTGGGATTCCAGAGTTCTAAGTTTGTGGCTATTATTATCACTGCAATATTGGGTTTTTGTATTCTGCCTTGTAAAGGAATATGTTTAGTTATCTTGAACTCTGGCTTGGGTTTGGATCTTCTGATTGCATACCCAAACGAATCAAAGTTGATCTTGTTTGGCCTTTAGGAGTTAGAAAGGACGATTCCATTCCTCGTGTTATTTAGTCATTTTGTTAAAAACATTGCTTATTTCCCTTTGTATGAAACACATGCTGACAATGATAATAAAATCGAGTGCAAACTGCTGATGTTGCTGGCTTGCTGCAATTGTATCATGTTACTTTGTAGGATCTATTATTAAAAAACCTTATTCCCTCCAAGAAACTTTGTAGGATCTATTATTACACTCTCGTTGGTGGGGTTTCAAGGAGGATGGATCATAGATATACATCTAGTAAAAATGGGGTGAATGCATGAGTCTGTGGCCCATGATTATATATAGTTGTTGGAACTTGTATTACATTATTTCTATGAGGGAATAGATCATTAATTTGTATGCCAATTTTGGAAAAGGATCCATTTCCTCTCTTGATATGATGTGTTGGTCGAGATGTGGGTAGGTGAGTGCTTGAATCTGTTATCTCAAGTTCTAATTTTTTATATATTCGAATAAGAAATAAAAAACCATGATAGGGGGGCTATTGAAATAATTGTTAAAATGGTTAGGGAGAATTTTAATGATGTGATTATCTACTATCTAGAATTACAATTATCACGATATCATAATAACTAAAGGCTAAAGTTGTAGATAAAATTTGGGAATTAATTAATAGTAATTATTGCCTTGCAAGCGAATTTGTTTTAGAGTGACATCAAAACATACTTGGAAAAAGAATCACAATGTCTAGAAAAACAGAAAAATAAAATTTAATACCTTAAAAACTTAGATTAACAATAAATACTTTCTTATTAGGGCAAACAAATTTAGAGACTTTAGACAAAAGCCACAGGCTTTCTTGTCTTGATAGTAACAAAATCTGTGTGGTGGATGGAATGAGATTGAAATGCTACTTGTCTCCTAGAGCACTGGTTGAATTATTTAAATTAAAAAACAATATAAAGTTATAAAAAAGTAAAACATCATTAAATATATATATATATATATATATATATATATATATATATATATATATAAAGTTATAAAAATGTAAAACATTAAAAAAAAAATAGAGAATCTTGCCAGCTGCTCAATTGCAAATGTCCTTAGAACCCGTATGTATGAAGGGTGAAATGTGTCTACTACATCAGCACTGTATAATGAGTTGATTATTACTATCTTCATTTTTCAAATATTCTTTAATGATATTTATGGAAATCTTTTCTTTTTACAGTAAATATATATTTGTTTTTCACTCTCATGATAACTGTATAAATTATTTAACCATTAGATGAGACTTGAAAAGTAAAAATATAGTTAAGAAACTAATTAATATTATCTTAAATTTAAAATAAAAATTACACAATAATAAAATTATTTAGTTGACTTTTAAAGAAAATCAATTATAGATATCAAAATACAAAACTTGTATATTTATAATATCATTTAATTTATCTTGAATAGGGGAATCCCTAGATAAAAAAGAAAAAAACAAACATAATATCCTAGTTCAAAAATATCATATCATGAACAAATCCTAAAATCTCAAGAACTCATGAATATATGTACGCAAAAAAAATAAGATAAAAGACAACTAATCATACTTCATCATCAATAGAAAATACACATTGATTTTTTTAAAACTCTTACCCAGTAGAACAGTGGACGTAACTATTATTATTATATTTAACATGTGTAAAAAAAACTTTAAACTACAATTATTTCATTCTCGTGTGTCCCATCGAAAAATAGAATAGGACGGATTTACTTATCATTTTAAAGATGGATTATAAATTCCAATCTTGTCAAAAGACGAATTATAGATTTCAATCTTATCAAAAGGCGACTTATCAGGTTGTGAATTAATTTGTCAATATTTTTTTATAAATATTTTTTTTAAAATTTAAAAAAATATAATTAATTATATGAATAATTTTTAAATTCTATTTATTAATTAATATTTTTATTAAATAAATTGAAAATATTTTTTTATTAATATATATTTAATAATTTAAACTTAATTTATTAGTATTTAAATTTAAATTATAATATTATAATATGTTTTAATTATATAATACAAAAATATAATATGCGTCAAATTACTACTCCATTCCAATAATTTTAAAGTAGATTAGTAGATTGGTCTCTCACAGATAACCTATTTTGTCTTTTTAATTATTATTAATTATGTGTAAATAAGACATGATAGCAAAATATATTAAATATATTAGAATTAAAAATTCTTTTATAATATATGTTTTAAATAAACTATACTCATTATTTTTAAAAATATAAAAACATCATACGAATATATATATATATATAGTTATTTAAATAATATTGTGAACAATTAATGGTTACTTAACAAAAGTAGGATAAAAATTACTATTAATAATATATTAAAAAATCAAATGAACTATATGTAGTTATTCTATTTATAAAAATATAAATACATTACTTAATTGAGTTACACACCTAAAAATAATATAATTATCTTATTTAAAATATTTTGTATTAATATTATTTTTATTTTTATTTTTAACATTAAACCTAAAATAGAACACTACAAAAACGTCACAATTTATAAATAATTAAAAAAAACAAATAATATTTATATTAATACCTCAATAAGTAAAGTTATTTAGTAGAGGGCTTGTTTGATTTTTTTTAAAATAATTTTAGAGATAAATTTTAAAATTTTATTTTTAAAAATAAGTTAAATTTTTGTTGATAATTTTAGTTTTTAAACTATTTTAAAGCAAACAAAGTGATATAAATAATTTTAAAAAGATATGACTAAATTAAAAATTGATTTTGATAATTTTATGAAAATAAAAAGTAATTTTATGTAATTATTAATAAAAAATTTAATATTTGTTAATATAAAAAAATGAAAAATAATTTTTATATTTTCTATTTTTTTATTTTGAAAACTAAAAAATAAAAATAAATTTAAAAATAGTTATAAAACAATTTTTTAAATTTATAAAAATGAAAAAAAAATTGAGGCTAAAAGTCCACTCAAGTTCATATTTCCTATAAGAAGAGCACTATGTGGTAAAATGGTTTCATAGATCGGAAGTTTTCTAATACACAGGATCCTCTTTCGAGACTAGTGTAAAGCATACTTGCATCTAAGTGAGAAACAATACTAAGAACTATAAACTTCAAGCTTTCAGAGAAGAGAAAACTAAGAGAAAGAACATTTTAGAAAGAGAACTTGTATTGATTTCACTCGATTGTGTTCTGAGTTACAACATCACAAGCATCCCCTATTTATAGCAAAAACAAGCAAGTGGAATCCAAAGCTTCGCTAAACTAGAATGAAATTCGGACCTGAAACTTATGTTACAAGGTGGAATCTGAAATAAGATAATAAAACTACGGACCATTTTAGACAGAGACCCCTTCTTATCCAAACGATATGAACATCCTCGGGCACAACGGCACCATCCTTCGGCTAAAATCCCACTCAAATTCATATTTCCTATAAGAAGAGCATTCTGTGGTAAAATGGTTTCATAGATCAGAAGCTTTCTGATACACAGGATCCTCTTTCGAGGCAAGTGTAGAACATACTTGCATCTAAGTGGGGAGCAATACTAAAAACTATAAGTCTCAAGTTTTCAGAGAAGAGAAAACTTAGAGAGAGAATATTTTAGAAAGAGAACTTGTATTGATTTCACTCGATTGTGTTCTGAGTTACAACATTACAAACATCCCCTATTATAGCAAAAACAAGCAAGCGGAATCCAAAGCTTCACTAAACTAGAATGAAATTCGGACTCGAAACTTATGTTACAAGGTGAAATCCGAAATAAGATAATAAAACTACGGCCCACACATCATAATGACCTTACAAAGGACAAAATAGCATGATTCACACTTTATTTTAGTCATACATATGGACAAAGTAGAAAAGATAAGATAAAATTCGAAAATGATGTCTTATCTCTTTATTGGAAAGTAAAGTTG